TCTCAGGGCTGGACTGGCCCACCGGGATACCGGGAGATTTCCTGCACCTGGGGCCGGACAGACAGCTGGCTGACCTGCGGCCGCAGGGTGAGCTCTTCTGGCGGCCGCAGGGTGAGCTCTTCTGGGCTGGCGGCCGCAGGGTGAGCTCTTCTGGGCTGGCGGCCGCAGGGTGAGCTCTTCTGGGCTGGTGGCCGCAGGGTGAGCTCTTCTGGGCTGGCGGCCGCAGGGTGAGCTTTTCTGGCGGCCGCAGGGAAAGTTGGCTGTTCTGCCTCTGCTCTCCCGCCCTCGCGCGCCGCTGAATGAGACCACGGCCAGAATATGATGTCATATTCCGCCCGCGGTCTCATTAAGCTGTGCGCGAGGGCGGGGGAGCAGAGACAGAACAGCCAGCTCTCCCTGCGGCCGCCAGAAAAGCTCACCCTGCGGCCGCCAGCCCAGACAGCTGTCTGCACACAGGTAGCAATTATGTGTGTCAGTGTGAGTGTATGGGTGTCTGTCTATGTCATGTTGTGTGTGTGTCGGTGTCATGGTGTGTCTGTGTCATGGTGTGTGTCTCTCATGGTATGTGTGTGTGTCTGTCTGTCATGGTCGGTGTGTGTGTGTGTTTCTGTCTGTCCATATAATACAGAATGCACACTATAACCATTATTAGTAAAAAAAAATACAATTTATTATGTACACAAATAGTACCACCTAAAAAAATACAAAAATAAGTATTGCTTCCTAGTGACAGACACTCAGACGGTCACTAGAGGTGCTTCCTGTGTCAGTGCGGATTGGCTGAGATCATCAAGCTTGATGATCTCAGCCGTAGAGGCAGGGCCAGTCGAGGGGAGACCAGCACGACCTGAGGGGAAAAAAGGTGAGTAAAAACACTATTTTTAAAAACACGCAGACACACACACACAGACCATGACAGACACACAAATACTACGACAGACACACACCATGACAGACACACACACACACCATGACACAGACAGAAACACATTTTACAATTGGAGAGCACATGGAGAGACAAACATCATCACAAAGCTAGATGCAAACCATATAGATACTCCATATAATACAGAATGCACACTCTAACCATTATTAGTAAAAAATACAATTTATTATGTACACAAATAGTACCACATAAAAAATACAAAAATAAGTAAACAAAATGACAGTAGCAAGGGCAATCACAATGATAGGTAGAGTAGTACAATACCAACAATGTTCCACAAAGCCCTAGGACAGAAACACGATCCACCAAACCCCCAACGTTTCGGCAATCAACTGCTGCCTTTATCAAGGGTACCTGTATCACACTTCAATGTGTCTGTTTATAAATCCCTCCTTACAGCTGATGGCCATCAGCATAAAGTTTGTCACCACCATAAGGATAAAAGATCATATGAAAAAGAGACATTTTCAAAGCCCCATAATCATAAGTGCAAACAAGATAAATTATAGTAAACTTTTATACCAGATATATGGCCTTCGTGGCCGCCATTTTATTTACTGGCAAGTGGGCGTCCCACACCTGCGTCACCCGCCCCTCTAGGAAATACCTTATCGCGAGCATCTACAACAAAAGCCGCGCATGCGCAAGCAGATAGAAAAAAACCTAATAACACGCTCGCGATAACCACTTGATCTAATAAGATCCCAGTACAGAAAGGAGTATATGGTAGACTATAGCAGACCATACACGGCAAAAACGCTGTGTGTTGTCTGTATCTGATCTATTGTTTTTATTCTTTGTCATTTTTCTTATAGATTGGCACTGTGGTGGTCATCCTGATTGTGATTTCCGTGTTTTTTGGATGCCGGACAACTTTGATCGGAGCGCATTACTACTTGTGTGGGACTTTTTGCTTATGCTGGAATGACCTCATACACATATTTATTGTCTTGCTGATTTTTCAGGAGTGGCTGACCTTTTGTCACAGCCACGGTATTTATGCCTATTTTGGGGAGTGATATATTTTTTTGACCCATGGAATATTATGTACATTTTTGGTAGCTATGACTGAGAGAGCGTTTTTGCCGTGTATGGTCTGCTATAGTCTACCATATATTCCTTTCTAGTGATGTCCCGAACTGTTCGCCGAACGGTTCGCGAACGGTTCGCCACGGACTCATCATTGAGTAAACTTTGACCCTGTACCTCACAGTCAGCAGACACATTTCAGCCAATCCGCAGCAGACCCTCCCTCCCAGACCCTCCCACCTCCTGGACAGCATCCATTTTACATCCATTTTGAAGCTGCATTCTTAGTGAGCTGTCCAGGAGGTGGGAGGGTCTGGGAGGGAGGGTCTGCTGCTGATTGGCTGGAATGTGTCTGCTGACTGTGAGGTACAGGGTCAAAGTTATGCTGGAATATGATATAAATGTGTATAATATGTGCTTGTTTAGGATTCTTGACTTTTGATTTAGGTAAGCTGTGATTTAGATTGCAGATATTTGATATGTGCCAACATAGATTGGCTACTTTACTTATAATTATATGGCCCTCGTAAGGTTGTGGTTCCCGGGGGAAGTTGTCCTTTATAGTGGCAGCCATTAAGGATATTTTTTTATAATATGCACGCGTATGTCGTGCTTTGGCAAATTTCAGATTTCAGTATTGCGCCTGCGCGGCCTCCTTTAGCACTCTCGCGCTTGCGCGAGTAGGTGAGGAGTGTGAGCGTGAGCACCTGTACTATTATCGCGAGCGTGTTATTCGTTTTTTCTATCTGCTTGCGCATGCGCGGCTTTTGTTACAGATGCTCGCGGTAAGGTATTTCCTAAAGGGGCAGGTGACGCAGGTGTGGGACGCCCGCTTGCCAGTAAGTAAAATGGCGGCCACGAAGGCCATATATCTGGTATAACAGTTTACTATAATTTATCTTGTTTGGACTTATGATTATGGGGCTTTGAAAATGTCTCTTTTTCATATGATCTTTTATCCTTATGTATAATTGAGTATATTTTCTAACACCTATGTTTGCTTTAGCATTGTACCAGCACTTTAAGTGATGATGTCACTTCCGAAGGTGGTGACAAACTTTATGCTGATGGCCACCAGCTGTAAGGAGGGATTTATAAACAGACACATTGAAGTGTGATACAGGTGCCCTTGATAAAGGCAGCAGTTGGTTGTCGAAATGTTGGGGGTTTGGTGGATCGTGTTTCTGTCCTAGGGCTTTGTGGAACATTGTTGGTATTGTACTACCTATCATTGTGATTGCCCTTGCTACTGTCATTTTGTTTACTTATTTTTGTATTTTTTATGTGGTACTATTTGTGTACATAATAAATTGTATTTTTTACTAATAATGGTTAGAGTGTGCATTCTGTATTATATGGAGTATCTATATGGTTTGCATCTAGCTTTGTGATGATGTTTGTCTCTCCATGTGCTCTCCAATTGTAAAATGTGTTTCTGTCTGTGTCATGGTGTGTGTGTGTGTCTGTCATGGTATGTGTGTGTCTGTCATGGTGTGTGTCTGTCGTAGTATTTGTGTGTCTGTCATGGTCTGTGTGTGTGTGTCTGTGTGTTTTTAAAAATAGTGTTTTTACTCACCTTTTTTCCCCTCAGGTCGTGCTGGTCTCCCCTCGACTGGCCCTGCCTCTACGGCTGAGATCATCAAGCTTGATGATCTCAGCCAATCCGCACTGACACAGGAAGCACCTCTAGTGACCGTCTGAGTGTCTGTCACTAGGAAGCAATGTAAACACTGCCTTTTATATGAAAAGTCAATATTTACATTGAAAAGCCTGCAGGGACAAGCTATAGACACCAGAGCCACTACATTAATCTCTGTGTGTGTGTGTGTGTGTGTGTGTGTGCCTGCTAGTGAGTGAGCTTGTGTTTGTATGTCAATGAGCTTATGTATATCAGTGAGATTGTTTGTCTATGAGCTTGTGTGTGTCAGTGATATTGTCTGTGTCTGCATGTGAGTATGTTTTACTCTGAAAGGAGTACTAAATCCCTGCCCCCCTCTCTACTAAATCCCAGCCCTCTCTACTAAATCCCAGCCCCCCCTATACTAAATCCCTGCCCCCCCTCTATACTAAAATCCAGCCCCCCCTCTATACTAAATCCCAGCCTCCCCCCCCCCACTAAATCCCAGCCCCCATCTACTATTTCCCAGTCCCCCCTCTATACTAAATCCAGGGCCATCTTTAACATTGATTGGACCCTGGGCAAGCATTTGCTTGGCCACCCTGAATCCTGCCCTCCCCCCACACACTTCCACCCCATGGCATGCAATCACGCCCTACACCCCAACACAGTGGCAGAACTAATGTAGAGAGGGCCCTGGTGCAAGACATTGTTTTGAGCCTCCCCTCTAGCGCTGGAGCGGAGAAAAGATAGACCCTCATCTGTTGTACAATTCCCACGATGCTATGTCAGCTGGGGATCTACCATGTGGCCATTCTTGCAGGGCTGTATTTGTGAGCAGTGTTTGCACATTTGTATAGAGTATGTGTGTGCATGTAGGGTGTAGTATTGGTGTTTGAGTGAAGGGTTATGTTTCTATGTACTTTTGAATTCAGTGGTGTGTTTGTATGTAATGTTTGCATGTTGTGTTTGATTGCCGAGATGTATGACATACATTCACAGATATACATACACATTAGCACACTGATACATGCACACATCTGGACACATGCACAGACTGGCGTATACACACACAGACACATACATAAACAAACGTGCACACACACAGAGATACACACTTACACACACTGGCACAGATATGTACACACACTAAGAAACACACAGACACACGGGTACACATGCAGGGGTGTATGTGTGTGCAGTGTTGGCGTAGGAATGCTGGGATGTATGCATTGTCACACAGATGCACACTTACACAAACACTGAGATACGCATAGAAACAGAGATACACATGCATTGATGTATTTGTTTGCAGTGTTAGTGTTGGAATACAGGGGTGTATTTGTATGCAGTGTTGGTACTGAAATGATGGGATGTATGCATTGCCACACACATGTGATACACTCATATACACACACACAGGTACATATACACAGACACGCAGGTACACATACAAACTGACACACAAGTACACAGACACAGGTATACATACACACAGATACACATAAACACTGACACGAAGGTACACAAACACATCCAGATACACACACACACACACACTGACACAAACACAGCCAGATACACACACTGACACTCACACAACCAGGTACACACACTGACACACCCACACAAACAAATACACACAGTCAGATACAAACACTGACACAAACACAGCCCGATCCACACACTGACACAAACACAGCCAGATACACACACATACAGCAAGATACACACACACAGTCAGATAGACACACACATACAGTCAGATACACACACAAACACAGCATATACACAATTACATATCTAAGAACGCTACTCTGCATTTACCATGTGTAGCTATTAGCCTAACAATTGCCCAATCTATGAATCTGTTTTTTTTTTTTAAAGCAGATATTAGCAACTTTGCATATATACTACATTGTAAGCGAGGTTAGTGACACAGTTACTAACGGAAACCCTGCTGTACTATTCAATACGTAACTGAGACATTTAGCAGGATCATTCCAGCCGGAATCACCTTCCCTTTCTGCGTTTCTGCTATGTCGCTAGTATGAATGAGTATATTACCCTTAGCATTATATCTACATAGACACGGCCTTATATCACTAATAACGTAGATCGTTGATACCTCTCCCCTGTTCACCAGGAAGTTCATACTATTATGATAGCAGGTCTACGTGCCAGGCTATATACCTATACAGACATAAGCACTATATTTTGATATAGATACAGAGATTTTATACCTCCATTTTATTTGGCTAATTGGAGCCGTATATGTATATATATTCTTTTCACTTATTTGTGTGTGTGCTTTAATTTATTATTTTACATATATAGTATTATTGTAGTTTTTCTCAGTGTGATGTTTCTTGGTTTTTTTTCCTGTCCTACTTGGACTTTTAAATTATCTATTTAATATTAAGTTTTAATATACTAGTTCATTAATTAGTTCTGGTTACCTCCTCCATCTCCTTCTGTTCTTCGGTTTATTCTCACAGGGGTTATCCCCCAAAAAGAGGGTCTGTAACGTTCTGGCTCCCCCCTTCTTCTATTTTCCTTTCTTAGACTTTCATATTTTATTACGATATTTTTCAATCTTCGGACTAGTATCCAAAATGCAATATTAAAAAAACAAATCCAGAATTTAATCCAAACTGTCATTAGAGATTCATGAAAGTCAATTTTGTTAATTAGATTCAAGGTAATTTAATGTATTCTAAAAAAACACCAAGAAATTATAATGACAACATTTGAATTCTGTTTAAAGTATAATTAAAGGTTAACAGGTTGATGTGATAACAATCCCATAGTTGCAATACTTTTCAACATTCTTTTTCCAACATTAGATTGTCGAACCGAACTATTGAACTTATGATAAACACTCAAATGAACAGTCCGAGCACCAAAACAATTTTAGCTTAATTATGTGGTTTTGGTGTGTATATTAGTGGTTCCCAAACCAGTCCGTATGGCCCACCAACAGTCAAGGTTTTGTCAGTATCTCTAGAATAAACAGTTAAATGCGCAAATCCTGGATTGTCGGTTATTTAATCAAATCCTACTCATAGAGCACATTGGATCGACGCAGTGCAGTAATTTGCTGGTCACCCATACTAGCCTCCCAATAGATCATCAATCCATACAGAGAGTGGGGAGAGGAAAAGGTGACGGAGGCTGTATAGAGAGTAGGGAGAGGGAATGGTAAAGAAGCATGTATAGAAAGTGGGGAGAGGGAATGGTGATGGAGGCTGTATAGAGAGTGGGAAGAGGGAATGGTGACGGAGGCTGTATAGAGAGTGGGGAGAGGGAATGGTGACGGAGGCTGTATAGAAAGTGGGGAGAGGGAATGGTGATGGAGGCTGTATAGAGAGTGGGAAGAGGGAATGGTGACGGAGGCTGTATAGAAAGTGGGAAGAGGGAATGGTGATGGAGGCTGTATAGAAAGTGGGGGAGAGGGGATGATGATGGAGGCTGTATAGAGAGTGGGGAGAGGGAATGGTGATGGAGGCTGTATAGAGAGTGGGGAGAGGGAATGGTGATGGAGAGGGAATGGTGACGGAGGCTGTATAGAAAGTGGGAAGAGGGAATGGTGATGGAGGCTGTATAGAAAGGGGGGGAGAGGGGATGATGATGGAGGCTGTATAGAGAGTGGGGAGAGGGAATGGTGATGGAGGCTGTATAGAGAGTGGGGAGAGGGAATGGTGATGGAGGCTGTATAGAGAGTGGGGAGAGGGAATG